GCCAAAGTGGAGAAAAATAAAAGGGCTGCAATAGGATTGATTAATGTGCAGGTTAAGATGGATGAATTCCAAGAGCAATGAATGACCAAGCTGCTCCCAAGAGAGCAGTCCTTGACTCAACTGTCCTGGCTGATGGTTCTTGATATTTATTTACCTGTCTATTTAATTACCCAACAAATATTGGGTGAGGATAAAAAAAAAATCCTGAAAAGCATCAAGTTAGACAATGTTTGGTACAACTATAATGAAGTGATTTTTAGTTTTGTTCCACATGTTTCTTTCACTTAATGCAGGACCTAATGTGATTATTCCCAGAGCAGTTGGCAGTAGGGGGTAGACTCCTGAAGAGACAGAGGAAGACAAAATCTAACACTGTCTCTGATAGCTATCCTTGAATGCCACGCTAGCTAAGGAACCTTTATTCTGTGGGGTGGCTATTTACGGTGTTTGAGAATAAAAGTGACATGACTTGACCCTCATTTTAGGCAAAAATCACTGGTGGCAATGTAAATAAATACTTGGCTATGGAAAGTAGTAATAGGAAGGTCATTTAGTAGCTCATGTAGTAATATAGGCAAGAGATATGATATTAAATTCATGAACCAGGAGAGTGAACAAGATTGGAATGGAGGAAAAGTTCCCAGAGATATTTTGATAGACTCTACAACATCTGGAAATGGAGTGGAGTGCTACCAGGGCTCTAGTCTCAGTAATGGAAGCAGTGGAAGTGGAAGATTGGTGGTGGAGAGAAATGCAGTGGTTGTGCTTTCTGGACAGAAAATTGGAAAATCAGGCTGCCATGCATAGAAAGGTTACTGTTTTCTCATTGTCCTTATGAATGTTAACTCAATTTGTTCTCACTCTATCTTACAGGAGGAGCCCTGGTAGCATTGTGGTTATGCATTGGGCTACAATCCATAAGGCCAGCAGTTCAAAACCACCAACTGCTCCTTGGGAGAAAGACAGGGCTTTCTACTCCCATTATTAAGAGTTATAGTCTTATTTTTTT